CTGTGAGAGGAAGAGTATGTATTTCATTTACACATGGTGTTACAGGCAATGGTGTCCTTAGCAGTTCTCATGCAGGAGATGGGGAGATGCTGAGGGGCAGCAGGATAGCCTTAACAGAGGAACTGTATGTGCCTCTTCCAGAGGTACCATGACTGTGGGACCATCTGGCAGCAGCCAAGGCCAGGCAACCAGCAGGACAAGAGGGCACAGTCTCAAGCTCTGCCAGGGGAGGGTTAGGTTCAATATTAAGTAAGAAGAGATTTTTTACTGAGAGAGTGATCAGACATTGGAATGTGCTGCCCAGGGAGGTGGTGGATTCACCATCCCTGGAGGTTTTCAAGATGAGACTGGATGTGGCACTTAGTGCCATGGTCTAGTAGCCACAGTAGGGTTGGACTCTGTGGTCCTTGAGGTCTTTTTCAACTCGATTGATTCTATGACTCTGTGTTGCTTCAGTATCTTTACAGCATGAACTGCAATCACAAAACTCTCAAATCAGTCAAGTCTGACATTGTATTACTGATCTTTACATGCACTCCCAAGCAAATCCTCCTTTCTTTTGAACATATCTTAACCTGCTATTAGTACCTGTAGTGAACTGATTTGAAAAAGCACAAAATAGATCAATATTTGAAACAAATCACCAGTCTTCCCTGCCATCTTCTACAACCAGGTTTTCAAAACATTAGTAACTTTTCAACAAATCTGATTGATTTATGGCACTCACAATAGGAGAAACAGATTCTAGGTCAGTTTATGTAGAAAAATTACTTTATGAAACCACAAGCAAACAAAACCTGTACACAAAAACACACTTGTATATGCATCCTGCTATATTACTGGTTTCTCTAAGTGCAACAAACATAGTATCAGGGGCCTGGAACAACAGCATTCTCATGTAGGATCACTGAGCTGTTGGGGCATTCTGAGATCTATTTCTGTTCTAAGGAACTGCACTCATCACTGTTTGCTTGCACTAACTTACAAAATATATCTGGTTTTACCTATATAGGGAGGTGTATTTAAAAATAAAAACACCTCAGCACCTAAAGATGTGTAGGAAAAAAGGCATTTATTCCAAATGTCTCTCTTTTTCTAATACAGATTATGGCTCCCATGAGTCCCCAAAGCTGAAGTCTATGTACAGTCTATGTGAAGAGCCTCTTATGAGAAAAATGCTTGAAGCACTTGGAATACCTGTACACTTCTGCTGTAAATGAAGCAGACTGTCTTCAAAAACAAACCTTAAACAACTGGAAAATTAATTTAGTCTACAGGTGGTAATGCAGAATAGAAAACTGAGCCTTAAAAGACAGATGGGACAGGATTTGTTTCAGATTCCGTAATTTGATATTTGCATCAAGGCAGAATTGTTCTTTACATCTCCACACCTACCTCAGCTGGCAGCATTGTGCAGTTTGTTTCAATAAGAGAAAACACACTTTTCTTCTGGAGCTAGTTTCTAAATAACACCCTTTCTCCCACCACTGCTCCAGCCTCATGTGCATAACAAATCAATTGCAAGAGCATGTTGAAACTATTTCGGGCTGGGGGAGGAGGGACAGGGAAACCACAGATCATTAACAGGTTAATACTGGGTTAATAAAGTTTCACTGAATTCTTTGATAAATGTAACTGGGCCTTGAAAATAGGAGACTGACAAATAACTCCAAAATATTCTCTCCTAAATAGCTATGAACCACACAGGGTTTCTGTACTCTTGGTGGTAAGCTGAGCTGAAACAGCTCTCTTGACATTCGACAGGATGTTTCTGCAAAACCATGTCAAGGTGCCAAAACCAGTCAGTGGTTTTGCAGTCCTTGTGTGTGTGTGTGTGTGTGTGTGTCAGACAACCCATCACCTCCTAGGTCTTTACAGCAAAACCTGCATTTCTTGCTTACAAGCCTCCACATCCATTAGCAGAAATTTGGCAAGATCCAGGAAACTACTCAATTGCCCCGTTGCTATGGTTCTGCAAAGTGGTGACTACAGACTTGCCTTTGATACAGACACTACCACTTGCCTAACTATGACTGGGATCAGAAAGGTATGATCTTTAAAGGAATCTTGGTATCAGAATTTTCAGCTCCCTTCTTAACCAACTCAGGAAACAAAATAGGGTCAAACCCAGAAGGATGAAAAAGTTTCAGTAAAATTCCACATTAAAAGTTATTTTTTTCTTATAGATTCACTGCATAAAAACCTCATATAAGTAGAAGTCCCATCTAAGTTTGCCAGAAACAGGAAGAGGTGAGGGAAAGATGTGGTATCAGGAGGCAACAGATGAGAGAGAAATACTATTGATTTGGGAAGAGCTACCTTTCATTGAGGGAATGGAATTAATCTGGATATTTATGACTGTTTAGTTTAAGTACCACTAAATTAATACAGAGGAATAACTACTGAGAGCCACAAACATTTACATCACCTCATCTCTGTTATGTTCAGTGGAAATAGCCCAGGAGCATTCCACAGTGCTGCCAGTTGCAGGGACTAGCTCTGTAAACCACTATGGTTTGCAAGTGGTCAGTGAAGCCCTAAGGTCTTGATTGGAACACTTAGTACAAAGTTGTGAAGTGCAGATAATATCTTACTGGTTTTATCCAATACTTAATACAGCCTTTCCAGTGAAATGACACCCTAACAGGACAGGTGGATGTTTCTTATGTTCATTCCATCACAGAATCAGATTGGAGAGGACCTCTGAGATCATCAAGTCCAACCTATGACCTAACACTGCCTTGTCAACTAGACCATGGCACTAAGTGCCACGTCCAGTCTCTCCTTAAACACCTCCAGGGATGGTGACTCCACCACTCCCTGGGCAGCACATTCTAGTGTCTATTCACCCTTTCTGTCAAGAAATTCTTCCTAATGTCTAACCTAAACCTCCCCTGGCACAACTTGAGATTATGTCCTCTCTCCCTGCCTGGGAGAAGAGACTGATCCCCACCTGGCTACAACCTTTCAGGTAGTGGTAGAGAGTGATTAGGTCACCCCTGAGCCTCCTCCAGGCTAAATAGCCTCAGTTCCCTCAGCCTGTCCTCACAGGACTTGTGTTCCACGTAACACTGGCTTCTTTTCCTCCTTGCTGTCTTTATATCTCCTTCAATGGGTTGTCAAACCATTCAGAGATGTGACCAAAATTAGACAAGACAAATTCACAAGAAACATATTAATTACTGATTTGGCCTGGGGAGCAGCAAAAAAAGTTAAGCAGAACCACCAATGACTAAAAATTCAGTTTTCAAAAATGCAAGCATTGTTCTTCACTCACATCAACACACATCCCTTCCTCATACAACCACAGCTTAAGCAGCTTTGGCTTCAGGACATCACAGCTGCTCCAGCAAGACTTCATCTGTCATTGAGAAGATCAATACCTCCAGCAACCCTGCACACTTCACCACCCCCTTGGGAGAAGTGTGGGGCAGGAGGACAAACACCCTTCTTTTCTGTGGGGTACTGGAAAGGGTGAAGAATGCCATTTCTTTCAAAGTTCACCTTGAGCAGCTTACATGAGATAGCACAGTAACCAGGCTGTTAGCTGGTTGTAATTGCCAATGGTTTTTTAAGCCAGACAGGCCTGTTCCAGTGACATCACCCATCTACCCATAGCTATGAGTCTTTCCTGCATGTGTGCTGAACAGGGCACAGATGTTCACTCATACCTCCATCCTATGTCTCAGCTTACATGTATTTCTAACATCCAGGAAAAAAAAACAATCAGGAAATAATCCTTGTATCTCTTCTGTTGCTTATAAAATTACTGTTGAAACAGCCAATTCTGTAATTCCTTTTCATCCTCAAGTGTTTGCAAAGATCTGCACCAGAAGGTTTTTCCTTAATCATCTAGAGGTAGCTGCTCTTGCTAATCAGGCAAGTGCTTGCTGACAAAGCACCTAAAGGAACAGAGATCTGACTATATTTCAGAGAGAAGGTGGATTACAGTTGGGTGTTAAATTGAAGAGCAACAGCTGAGTTGCTCACAGTGAAAAGGAAACATGAAAACAGGGGACCTTACCCTTAGGTATAACTTGCTTTTGCTATATAACTGTCCAAATATGGAAACAACTCCTACAAAGATGAGAGCTCCATGCAGTCTGTTCTGGGAGGATTTTGCACTATTTCTTTGTAAGTGCAGTCATGAAACCTAACTTGTAATGAAACAAAGGTGAGAAAATAGGTGTTCACATCACTTCATGTGTTTCCTTTGAGCCTGGCAGATAAAGCTCAAAAGAATCCCAGCAATTGCTTTTGGCACCCAGAGCCTGGCAGCATAGCCAGGGCAGAGGGGAGAAGAGATTCAGCTGGAGAAGAGGTGGGTAACCAGGATGAAGATCTCTGCTACCTTCTCCAACTAATGGAGACCAATTCTAAAGACCAGAAGAGCAGCTTTCCACTTTCACACTGTGCAAATATGTTTTTCAACCTAGTAATTCAGTAATTGCAGAACCAAAGAATCCTACCTGCCACCTGTGCCCATCTCACAGTAAATCCTTGGGAGCTATTGCAGCCTGAGCTCCTGAAGGTCCTTTTTGTGCTGCTGGGGCAGCTCAGTTTAACTCAAAACTACTTTTCAGGGGGAGACACTAATTTGAGGCTCTGCACTGTACCAGTGCTCATTTCCATAGGGCTTACAGGAACTTCCATTATTTTTTTCATTTAATTACTCCTTTTGTCAAACCTTACTGAAGCTGACCAACAAGCTTTTAAAGATCTTTTGTGGGTGATAGCAGAGAGACAGACAATGGAGCAGCTCCTAAGAGCTTGGCTTCCCTAAAACTTCAGGCTAAGGAAAGCCTATGAAATCTTTAATACAACATCTCTGTTATTCCAGTTGGCACTACAGCTCCCTGTGCCTCACACAGGATGCACAGAAAGATCCTGTCTTGTGCTCCTGATGGAGATGTAAGAGACAGTGAATGTGTCTGTTGGAATGGAGTCTGTTGGAAAAGACCACAGACAACACACACTGGTAACAGA